CTGCTCAAAGCAATTTATGTGTTTATATATGTACACAACTTCATAGAGGATGTGCTATGTATACCATTATTCTGTAAGTGGTGAAACTGAGGCTCAGGAATGTAAATTTCATCTCCTTTTTGATTGTCCAAGTAATTTGCCAGAGATCACACAGTTAGCAAGACGTAAATGAATGGCCTAGATCACAGCAGAATGACTGGGCACAGAGTCCTTAATTCTCATGTTCATATACATCAGAGATTCCTATACAGCCCAAGCCCTGCGATGGGTAAAGTTCATTGTCAACATGGCTGCATTTGGAATCACTCAGGGGACATTTCTGGGTGTGTCTGTGAAGGTGTCTCCAGAGAGGCTTAATTCAGGCGGGAAGACTTGCTCTCAGTGTGAGCAGATCATGGCATGTGCCAAATCCTAGATGGAGTGAATAGGGAAGGAAGGGAGCAAGGTGAGCACCAGCATCCAGCCCTCTCAGTTTCCTGAATGCCGGCACAATATGACCGTCAGGCCTCACACCCGGTTGCCATGACCTCCAAGGAGAGAGGTCAAGGGACAACTTTTCACTACAGATTCTGAGAATCAAACTCAGGCCATCAAGTACCAGTGACAAGCACTTTTACCAAATGAGCCACTTCGCAGGCCCTAAAGGAATATGTGTTTTAAGGGAGAAAAAAATTACCTTCTGTAAAATAGTGCTCAATAATTCTGACAACAGGAAATGAAGAAAATCAAAACTCGCCAGGCTCCTGTCCCATCTGCCTAGAGGCATTTCAGCTGAAGACTGGTTCACAGTTAACTGCAGCACACACGCACAGCCTCATTAAAATAGAAGCAGAAAAGATTTCCTCTACAAGAACTTACATTGTACAACCTTCCTGGCTATGCCAGTCTGCCTGAGTCCTCCAATTATGCCCTCTAGAAAGAAAAAAGTTTCCATCTCTCAGCTCCTTTGAATGTGCTAAAATAACATGGACATGAAAAAGTTTTCTGTTGTTTGCTTCTTTGTAATGATGCCTTCATCAAAACATGGCTTCGAGAATTTGTCTGTGTAAGTGACAAGAGAATGTTCATTCACAGAACAAATATTAACTAAGTGTGTAGAGACACATACTACACTGTGAACACAATGGCAAAAACACACTGTAACGTAAGAAAAATGCTTGCTTTTCCCTCTGTGTTCGTAAAAGAAAATCATCACTGCTTCCGAAAGCGGTGACACCTGAGAACCACCCAGACACAAGGTGTCAAGGAGAAAGATATTTCAATGGACAGCTCGAGGCTCTTCGCTGACTGCTGCTGAGACCTTCAAATGGCACAGGGATCAACAAATCTGAAAGCGCATTGTGCGAGAAAGAAAGAACTCCAAAACGGTAACAGATCTAATTTCAAATTGATACAACAGGAAAACACTTTCAAGCTCTAATAACACACCACGCATGTTAGTGCATATCTATAATCCAGGCACTTGGGAGGAACATCAAGTTTGGAGATCTGCCTGGGCTACAAAGTGAGATCTTACCTCAAAAAATGAACCCAATAGTCACAGAATAGTTTTGTCATGGAGAGTAAAATGGGGCTTTGGTATAGACTGATCCTTCACTTGTTTATTTACCCCACCAAGCAAATTATGCTGGAAAGCTAGGCAAAGGACACAGCTGAGATGACTGACCATAGACGTGTGACGCTGAGGTATGTAATATGCCTGTTTGATCCAAGTAGACTTATCCAAGAGGGATTTTCCTCAGGGCTAGACTCAACCTTAAAGGTAATAGGATTTTTCAGTGTCAGGCATGAAATACCTCCCTTTGAGCTATTGTCCAGGAAGGTCCCAGTGGTCTCCAAAGCAAGATGCTATTGACCTTGCCTGTGGTTACCCACATAACTACATGGTAAGACCCTACTGCTGAAGACACCATCCATTTTTGACTACAGGACAGAGAGAAATCAATCCCAAATTGACCAGGAAACTTCCTCCATGCTAGTTAGCTTTCACAGTGCCAGAAGGTGCTTATGAGGGATTCTGTGGGGAAAGGACATGAATGGCCTTTCCTAGTGCTGGACCCTGCCTGGTACAATATTAACCTAATAGGCAAGAGGTGCCCACTGGTACAATTGTGGCAGGACTGTTATGTGGTAACCAACTACTTTCTGATTGGATTTAAAGCATGTTCCACAGAAAGAAGTTCAGGTCTGGTACTATAAACCTGGTCAAAAGCCCCTGGCTAAGGAGGTCATAGGCCCTAGGGTAGAAGATACTATTGTTATTTTGATAAATGGTCATGTTGTCGAATTACCTTCCAAATGTTTACGTTTATACCCATAGACCTGGGATGCGCTCAACCTTGGTCAGAGAAACTTTTCTTTGCAGTGGGCAGCAACACAGATACTTATAACTGGCCCAAACACTGTGGGGTCTCAGCTCTAAATGGGACATCTTTGTCAATTCATCTCCTTCCCTCCCTCCACAAGGCTCAGGGTGTATCGTGGAATAGACAGTGGAAATAAGATATGAAACACTGTGTTCTGGACGTTACAGGGCTGTGGCACTCATGAGCTCATGGCAGTTGTGGTTTTCTACACCAGTCCTGCACAAGATCACACCAGCCAAAACCCCGGCACAAATGGAGGAGGGGCGTCCAGGCCCCACTCCTGACCGAGGAAAAGAGACTCGTTCTTCTTTGGGGATGAGGCTGTAACTAAGTTGCCCATGGGCCAGGGGATGGCACCACATCCATGTACATATGGGCAGCACTAATCAGACTTAATAAACAGGTTATTTTTTAAAAAAGAGGAGGGCATGAAGTGAAGAGAGAGAGAGATGTGTTATGGGGCCTCAGGGGAGTTGGAGGGAGAAACAGATGGTGGATATGATCATATTTCATTATATCATATATGAAATTATCAAAGACTAATTTTTAAACAGTGAGATTTTCATCAGCTCTGGCTCATCTGCACTGCAGGACTCTATGCTGCAGAATCCCTGTAACCACTGGAAAGGAGCAGACCTCTGCACCCACACGGGAATGTCTCCAGCACACACAGTGAGAGAGGAGAGAGGTACAGAGGTGCGCGGAAACGTGGAGTCTGATGTTCTTCGTGGGTTCTTTCAGCCGCACAAATCACCTCATTACAAGTGCATTCTGTAAGAAGTTTCTGGAAAGACGCCAAGCAGATAAAGAGTGGTTCACTTCTGAGAAGATGACAGAGAACAAAATGAGGGATTTGGCATTAAGAATGGCAGCAATCTTCTTTGGAAACGTATATTCATGTTAATCATATCATTAAAATTAACTTAAAGAAATTAGGCTTTTATGCTCAAGAAATTAACTGTACAGTAACACTTTAGTGTAATTTAACATGAACACATACAGTCAAACTGAATGGTAGTGAACATCAAAATTGAGGCAAATCCTTGACAGTATTCTTTTTTTCCCTCAAAAACTATTGATTCTTAATCTACAAAGAATGAAAGTTTAAAATACACATTTAAGTTAAAAAAAAAACCACCTCTGGGTTTGATACCTATTATTACAAGTGTAAAACCCCAACCTTGAAGCTAGGCAGAGAAAGAATTTAAAATCCAGCATCTACATCTACAAAAGAGGGTGGAAGTCTTGCTACACATCACACTGGGAAAATATCAAATGAAGCTTCCTTCTCAGCCCACTGTGCAGCCCTGTGTAGAGCAGATGTTCAGCACCAAGTAGTTCTGATGATGAAGGATGCTCCAGGAGGAACAGACAAGTGGGCCCAGCAGTATGAGAACAGAGGAAGAGGAGGAGGAGGAGGAACTGAAAATAAGAGAACAAGTGTGCTAGAGAGAGCTGCAGAACAGACAAGGCCTGAGTGCTCAACCCAAAAGTCACACAACGACTTAGGAGCAATCCACAGTCTGTGCTTGCAGAACAATCTATGAGACATTTCTACACACATCATGGAATGAAACTTTTGTAATGTCGTAGTACAGGTGACAGGTACACAGGATAAAATCATACAGAACCGAATAGCACATTCACACCAGGACAAGCAAGTAGGAGCGGGGTTTTAATCAATATCCACATCCCATTTTACAAAGTTCTGAGAGGGCAGACAACATGCCAAAAGCCACCCAGATGAGCCACAACTGAGATCTTGACCTCCAAGACCAACAGTCTTCAAATATCCAACGGGATGTCACTGTACATGAGCTCTTAAGTGGCTGATAATTTTCAAGGAACCATGCAATTCTCACAAAGCTAATGTGTTACCAGAATAGAGATAATAAGCCATTTTCTTCATCTAGGAAAACTAACTCTGGACAAACATCTGATCTTCACTTTCAGAATCAACAGAATGGAGTTAGAGGAGGGGTTAAGGAAGGTACAGTAATGAAAGATAACAGAACAAGAGGGAGTTGGAGTTGGGGGTGATAATGAAAGGTGGGAAGAGGGAGTTGGGGTGGTGGTCAGTATGAGCAGTGTGGTAACAGACACATAGAACTAAACATAGCATAAAATCAGATGGAACTTAATAGCACATTCACACAGGGGAACACAAGTTAACCTAAACAAGAGTCAGGTTTAAACAACGCCCACATCCTACTGGTGCCATTATGCTAGAGCTTTCTAAAGAGTCACCATGGGGGAGACTAGGGCAGTGACACATGCATATGTCTACATTACTTGTCACAAGTTCACAGGAATATGTAGTCATTAGACTTTTGAAAACCTCAGTTTTAGAACATAAATACCACCAATGCTATTTTTAAAACAATTAGTGACACCATGTGAAAGACCCAGGAAGACACTATGTGGCCAAAGTCTTCATTATAGTCATACAAATACTGGGAGTATATGGTAGTTGCTTGGGAAAACAGAGAATAAAGGTGGTATTATGGGCTACACCAAAAATCAGATAACAATCCTAACCACACTGCACAGCACATCTTAGTATTCTGGTGCCTGACCCTAGGGGTGGGAGAAACATCTCCAGCTGTAGACAATTGCCACCGATATGACACTGACCTGCTTGTAGGTTCCGTCTAGCAGGGTGTCCAGGTGTTGGAGTGGAGCAGGTGTCTTCTCTCTGAATCTCGTTAGAAGCCGACGCTGGATGGCCCGAAATTGCACAGCTCTTTCAGATAAAAGTTCCTCTAATTTCTCTCCATTTATTCGCAGCTAGAAGGAATAATTTCTTACATTGGGGTTAAATAGATACAATAAAAGAAATCCTGTCTCAAAAAACCAAAAGCCAAAAAGAAAAAAAAAGATGCTTAAAATGCATACAATGCAATGTAAGTTTGAGAAAGAGTTGAACAGATTTAAATGGTTTACAGAGAAATGGGAATTAGGACTGTACAGTACTTGGTGCCTGAGGACACAGTCAATAAGAAAATAGGTAAGTGGAAATGTAGGGATTGCCAAAGTATCTTTTGGGACCAATTATCTTTAATAAAAACTGGCTATATAGAAAATTTTTAATTTCTTTTTTTCATTACAATAAACCAAATAGCAGAGAGAATAAAAGCTTAGACACAGACGCACTAGAACTGAATTCATTTTTATAATTTCGGCTTTTTATCACTTAAATCAAAAGCCACTGGTACACATCCCAAATGTATACAAATACACACTTCACACAAGTGATAAATTACTATTTTAAAAGGGCAAACAAAGGGCTAGAGAGAAGTCTGGGTGAGCAGAGCACTTGCATGAACATAAAGACCAGAATTTGAATCCTCAGAACCCTATAAAAATGAGGCAGATGTGCTCTAGTCCCAACCCACAGACAGAGACAGAGCATCCCTGGGACAAGCTAGCTACCTGGAATAGCCAGAATTGGTGAGCTTGTCCTGATAAATGACGTGGAGAGGAATCAAGGAAGATATCCAACGTCACGAGTCATCTTCCAACACACAGGTACATCCACATACACACATCCTGTATTAGCTACTTCTCTATTGCTGTGATAAAACAGTATAACAAAGGCAACTTATAATAGAAACTGACTGGACTCATGGTCCCAGGACTTCAGCGCCTATGACAATGACGTGAAGGCAGCATCCCAGCTCACACCACACTGCAGCAGAGACAGGAAATAGCACAGTGGGGATGGCAGCAGGCTGAAGCATCCAACACCAGCCCTGCAACACACCTCCAACAAGGATACATCCTAATCCTTCCCAAAGAGTTCCACCAACTGGGGGCTCAAGGAGCCTACAGGGGCCTTTCTCATTTGAACTACCACACAGCACATGCAAATTAGCATACACACATGAATGCAAACATGTGTGTACACAACACCAGTACACACATACAAAATTAATTCTACACAATTAAACCCTGTAAGCAAAGGGCAAGTTGCATAACATAATAGTAATAACTATAAACATGACAAAAATTATGCCATAGTATCTAGACAACATCTACAAGCCAATGTAAAAAGGCCTATAGGCCAACAGAAATCACTAAGGAAAAAGAGAAAATGGGAAAGTTTCACCAAAAAAGTTAAGGACAACTTTATTCATTTATTTTCTCATCACATGACCTTGAATTCAAGTTGCTCTTGTCTCAGCCTCCATGTACCTGAATTATAGGACTGTACCACAAAGCCCAATCCACTTACCCACAATAGCTCTTAAACAGTAGCCTTTGATCTAACAATCCCACTGCTATGAATTTATTCAAGCAATAATGCTTACATATGCATGTAAGGATATTTATAACAGTATTTGATTGTTATTACACTTAGATATTAATGATCAAAATGCCCATCAAGAGGAGTCATGATTAAATAAAGAGGAATACTGTGCAGAGTGTGTGTTGACATTCAATACTTTCTAGTGATATATTAAATGAAGCAACTAAAAAAACAGACTGTTACCATGTGGTACTGTCCATGTGTGTTTCCAAGTAAAACTGAGTATTAGCATAGTTCTGACTACACAGAATATTTCTAGAAGATATATAACTGACAGGCTAGGGGATGAAAATCAGTAGCCTAACTCCTAACTTTGAAATATAATATTAATGAAAGAAATCTAGTCAAAGCCTCTCTCTCTCTCTCTCTCTCTCTCTCTCTCTCTCTCTGTGTGTGTGTGTGTGTGTGTGTGTGTGTGTGTGCGTGTGTTTTAAGACCTGCCTTTTTTCGAGACAGGTATTCTCTGTGTAGACCAGGCTGTCCTTGAACTCAAAGATCTGCCTGCCTCTGCCTCCCGAGTGCTGGAATTAAAGGCATACACCACTACACCTAGCCAGTCAATGTCTCTTAAAGAAAAAATACTTTCATTATCAAACATTAAGTGGCAGAACTGAAGAACTACAATATCTATAAACATGCTAACACAGAAAAGGGAAAATCTCATGTGGTCCCAACCAATTGACAATTAATGTCTGCTGAGGAAATTAGTGTCTCCAAGCTATAAGCCCCATAATTGATTAATCAATACAAAATGATAAGCACTGAAACCATACACACACACACACACACACACACACACACACACAGAGAGAGAGAGAGAGAGAGAGAGAGAGAGAGAGAGAGAGAGAGAGAAAGCAAAAGCAGTCTTAGCAATGTGCATATGTGTGTGTATATATATACAATAATAACCAAATAAAAAGCTATCAATTTGAGAGTAGGGAAACATGGGAGAGTTGGAGTGAGGGGACATGGGAGGGGCTAGAGGGTGGAAAGAGAACGAAGGAAATAATATGATTAAATATTTTAATTAGGCCAGGTGATGGTGTGCACGCCTTTAATCCCAGCACTTGGGAGGCAGAGGCAGGCGGATCTTTGTGAGTTCAAGGCCAGCCTGGGCTACAGAGCGAGTTCCAGGAAAGGCGCAAAGCTATACAGAGAAACCCTGTCTTGAGAAAAAAATTAATTAAAAGTGTATTAACCATTGCCAGGACAGAGGAGTTGGGAATCAGTAGAGAGGAGAATGGCAGGGTACAAGTCATCTGATCAGGGAAACAGGAAAAGTGGGGCTCCTCAGGGGAGGGGAGGGAGGCAATATAGAAAAGGCGAGAAGGGTAAAGGAGATAACAGGATACAGTGATTTGATAGGGAACTCGGAAAGGGGAGGAAACTCTTTAGGAAAGGTGGGGAGGTAAATACAGAAGAAAGAGGAGGTGGATAAAATAACCAAAAGGATGTCTAGAAAAGCCACAGGAATCATGCTATGAACTATTTACAAGAAATACTGTAATACACATAACTCCATTCATAAATACATATATATGTATATATGTATATATACATATATACTTATATATATAAAACGATGCTTTCTAATCTAGGCTGATGATACTCCCACCAAGAGCCAAAGTCCACCTAACAAAAATCCCAGTACCAAACATGAGAAGCCTGCTTTTGAGTCATTTGCCAGGGCTGCCCAAGAGTCTCTAAAAGCATACAGCCTATTGCTGCTACCCTTGGTTTCCTACCATAGGTGCAAATAAGTCCCTATTGCTGAGGACACCATTCACTTCAGAAACAGCCAAGAAACCCCTGAGCTGGAACTGAAAGCCTCCCCCTGAGGACTAGCTTTCATGGTACCAGAAAGTTCCATATGAGCTCCGAAAGGAGGGAGGCAACCGACAATACTACCCAACTATGATGCCTATGAACCACACAGACAAACAGCATGGTACAATAACCCTAAGGGGGCAGTAGTGGCAGGCATACCTTGGTGGTAACCCACAGCTCTCTAATTCAACTCAGTGCTAGTTAAATCTGGTTACAGGAGTAGAACCTACAACCACTGATTAACTAAAACAGCACAATCCCTATCAACAGTCTACTAACATTTTCCTTATACCCACAGATAAGTGTCTCTTCCTCAAGGAAAATTCTCTTTGCAACAGATGACCATTATAGAAACCAAAACCAATCAATATACAGAGTTGTGAATCCTACTGATACATTTGCAAAACATTTCCATACCTAAAGCTCAGAGAACAATCCAGAAGAGGGGGGATAGAAAGACTGTAAGAGCTAGAGGATCAGAGAGTTTTCTATAGATTGTGTCTCCTAGTAATAACTGAAGCTACATTCATAAAGTCTCACCAACATGGACTGCCCAAACATGGGCTGAACAAAGACAACACCAATGGACATGCCAAAGTGGATGGGGAAAGCCCATGATGCCACAACCCTACACGAAGAACTATAGGCAACTGAGGGAAGTTGAGAACAGGAGAGGTAGTCTTCCCAAGCAGAGTGCACCAACTGGTTGTCTGGTGCCAAACAGTCAACCTTGAAAACATGAATACAAGTAACATTATATGGACTCAACAGGTATCCAAAAACCCAGAGAATATATTTAACAAAATCATAGAAGAAAAATTTTCCAACATAAAGAAGGACGTGCCTATAAAGGTACAAGAAGCATAGAGAACACTGAAGAGATTGGATCAGAAGAGAAAATCTCCTTACCACATAATAGTCAAAACACTAAACATATAGAACAAAGAAAAAACATTAAAAGAAGTAAAGGGAAAGGGCCAAGTAACATAAAGACAAACCTATAAGAATCACACCCAACTTCTCAATGGAGACCCTAAAACCCAGAAGGGCCTGAACTGATGTCTTGCAGACTCCAAGAGACCACAAATGCCAACCGAGACTACTATACCCAGCAAATCAGTCAATCACCATAGATGGAGAAAATAAGATATTTCATGAAAAATTCAAATTTAAATAATATCTATTCACAAATCCAGCCCTATAGAAAGTACTAGAAGGAAAACTCCAACCCCAGTTAGTTAAATATAGCCACAAAAACACAGACAATAGATAATCTCACACCAGCAAAATTCAAAGACTCTCTCTCTCTCTCTCTCTCTCTCTCTCTCTCTCTCTCTCTCTCTCTCAAAACACACACACACACACACACACACACACACACACACAAAACCAACAACAAAACAATAGAAATTAACAATCATTGGATATTAATATCCCTCAATATCAATGAACTCAATTTCCCCCAAAAAAGACACAGGCTAACTGTGGTGATATAGTGTCCCCCAATATATTGTGCACCCTAATAAACTTATCTGGGGTCAGAGAACAGAACAGCCATTAGCCAGACATAGAGGCCAGAAAATGGTGGCACACACACCTTTAATTCTATCACTTGGGAGGCAGAGATCTATCCGGATCTCTGTGAGTTCAA